AAGTTGGAGTCCCTACAGGAAGCTCTTGGCAATGGAATGATTTCTTGGATGGCCACGAGTAAGCAGTCTGTGACACCACTACCATCGCTGACCACGTCCTGGTAGCCCCAGTGTCCACCTTCAAGGCAGCAGGGACATCACCGGACACGCCAACATGACAATGTTGGCGAGTGGCTGGAGCGATACAAGTAGGGGCTTGAAAGGGTCGGAGAGAAATATGAAGAATTACAGTAGCATGAAATTAGATCTGCTCGCTTTGAAGTGGGCCATCACGGAGAATTCAAAGACTATCTGGTAGGCAACAAGTTTACTGTCCTCACTGACAACAATCCTTTGACTTACTTGGACAAGACTAAGCTTGATAGAACAGAGATGGGTGGCGATTTAGCTCGGTTTTGATTATCATCTGGAATATCGGGCAGGGAAAGCAGATGGGAATGCAGATGGATTGTCCAGAAAGAGCCATGAGCCAGAACCTGGGGCAGATGACTCCTCCGAGAGGGTTGAAGCTATGATGCCTAGATGCTTTCAGGGGAGAGTTCTTTTAGTGGTGAGGACAGTGAGACCCCATGCCCAGCTGAGGAAAGGGGAGTGAATAGCTCTCAGGTGACTCGACAGTTAATATGGCTTCCCAGCATATCTCAGGAAGGTTTGGAGCAACTGCAGGAGCAGGACAGTAACATTTCATCGTGCCGAAAGGGCCTAGAAGGGCAGATAGGAGAAAGTGAATTACAGGAGCTGAGAAAGGGCCAGGATTTTAACAGCCTAAGAAACAGAGAGGGAGATTGCTCATTTGTAGGCTTAGGATAATTATGCACTTAAAAATGGCTAAATATGCATGCAAATATTCAGTAAAAACTGGTAAAATATGCACTTAAATATGCACTTATTCCTAAAGACATTAATTAATATTAGCAGTAATAAGTTAACAATTTTAACTTATTAGATTTAATAATATAACTTATTTTGCAGTAATTGACCCCAAAGAGTTTACTTTCCCACAAAAGCTGTGGCTGAGTGAGACCTTTTCATAAAGGATTAAATTAAAGAACATAATGTGCTGACAAAATAATTTACTTGATAATACAGAAAAACACCAACACATTTCCTTATATTAACTGAATGTAGGAATTTGCTACTTTTAAGGTATGTAGCCTAACCTTGTTCAAAATCAATTCTTAAATAACTCCCAAGCTGTCTATGAAAGTGAATTGCATTTGATTACAACATGGTGGAGTAGAATTTCAAACACAAACTTTCGCCTGTTATCAGCAAGAATGCATTTGTACTGTGAAAACACTCGTTCAACATCGCACGAAACGATAGGAGCATACTGTAACTTAACTATGTCTGACAGCTCAAGTTCTCCTTGAGTGGTAGCATCAAGAGAAGAATTGCTTTGCAGTATCTCACTGATTTTCTTCAGTCGGTTGTAACCTTTGTTTTTAGCAAGAACCTGGCTGACGTTTTCAAAGTAATCCTTCTTCTCAAGATGACTCAAAGAATCAACAGCTCCTTGTACTACATTCATGCCGCTCTTTAGAGTTAGTCCTTTTTTCTGCAACTTGAGGGTTGCAGAGGAAATACATGCTTAGTTGGCTCTGATGAAAATTAGATCCTCCCGCAAGCCATCCTTCTTGAGTACATTTTGTGCCTCCTTCATATGTACAGATGCTGTGGGATCAAATGATTCAACTACACACTTGACAGTTTCAAAATTGTCAGCATAGTACAATGCTGCCTTGATCCAGGTGCCCCATCTAGTCACTACTGGTGAAGGTAGGAAGTGGCACAGTACCAGCAATTTGTCGAAATCTCTCTTTGCGACTCGGTGCTTTCAGAAATACCTTCTTCACAGTAGAAATCAACACATTCACATCAGGCATAACTGCACGAGCTAATTCAGCAAACCTGTGCAGGCAATGGGCTAAACAAGTCACATGAATCATTTTTGGAAACAGAATTTCTAGTCCTGCCATACATTTAACCATATATGGGGCTGCATCAGTGCATACAAGAAGTACACGATCATACTTGATGCCATCCACCCATAATAATCCCAAGGAATCAGTGAAAAATGCTGCCATGGTTGAGTGATTTACCTTATCTAAGACCTTCAAATTAAGTAAGTATGATTTGTCTCTTTCTTCTTCTGGCCCCAAAATGCCAAACACAAAATTTGCAACGAATCTTGCATCTACATCTGTTGTCTCATCCAATGATACCCAGATGGAATTATCACCTACCTTCTCTCTCAGTCTATCTAAAGTTTCATTGTAAAGATCAGGAACATAATTTTTTCTCAGTGTTGATTCACTTGGCACTTTTTGATCCGTGTACTTCTCTAAGAATGAGACCAGTTCCTTGTTGTTCAGCTTATTCATAGGTATATCAGCTGCTACCAAGGCTCTACAAAGATCTTGATTAAACTGAGAATGTTTCGGCCCAGGCCGAGACAATGTTGTGGGCAGCAGTGCCTGTTGTTTGGCACTCGTTTTGGCTTCTTTTTTCATGGCATGCTTTGCAGTTTGAATATGTTGCTGCACTTGAAATTTCTTGGATGAAGAAACCACGACCTCACAGTATTTACAAAATAATACTTGGCCATCGGTGGTGAAGTCATTGTAATAATAATAATAATAATAATAATAAACGGTTTATTTATAGAGTTGCAGCCGGTGGCTGAAAATATACAGACTTACATTTGATTTAGACATAATGATATAATATACATTGAATACATTTACAGGGCTGTACAGTACATAAATCAGGAGTTGTTTATTATTTTAACAATAGATGGGATGGTGCTGTTCTTATATCTATCGGTGCGGGCTCTTATGGGCTGTATTTTGTTGTAGTGGCGGACTGCGCGAGTTGGGTGGGGGGCTGCAGGTGGCAGGAGGTGGCGATGACGAGGGTGGTGCAGTAGTCCACTGCCAAACCTTTCCAGTGCTTGGTGGTGGAGGTCACTGAGGGATGGCATTTCCAGGGTGGAGAGAGCGTTGGTGTAGTCGGAGTATTCTGCGCCGAGCATGATTCTGCAGGCCCTTTTCTGTACCTTCTGTACCAATGCATTAAGAGTACTGAAGAGCGATTTCTTAATCTTAGGCATGTTGCAGTGCTCAACCTGAAACAAAACAAATGCACATTCTGTATTTCCAAAGCCAATCTCACTAAGGCCTATCTTTTATTCCTGCAGCTTGAGGATGTAGGCCTCCTTTTAGGCTAAAATCAAGTGATTTAATTCATCTGAGGGAGGATTCGCATGGTGTCTTTATATGAGTATGCTTAAAATAAGAGACAAGTTTCTGATTTAAATACCCCAACATTATTAAAATACAAGCAAATCAAAGTGATAATTTCAGTGGGAAGATGAGGGATACAAAATTCACACAGCTACTGTACCTGCTCACCAGGAAGCACAGCCAGAACTGATGGAGCCTGACAGTGACAACCCTCTGTGCCCTTAGCAAAGTTGTTTAACATGTCCTTAAAAACAGGTGTAGTACCAGAATCCTGGAGGATAGCAAATGTAATACCGATTTTCAAGAAGGGGGATAGATCACTATCCTCTAACTACCGCCCAATCAGTCTAACATCAATAGTAGGCAAATTACTGGAAGCAATCATTTCAAACTCTATTCGAAATCACCTGGAGAAGCACAGATTGATCAATGATTCCCAGCATGGCTTCACAAGCGGACGTTCTTGCCTAACTAATCTATTAGCATTCTTTTCATCAGTTTTCGAATCGGTGGACGAGGGGCACAATTATGATGTGGTATATCTCGACTTTAGCAAAGCCTTCAACAGAGTCCCCCACGAAAGACTAATTAGAAAGGTAGAAGCTCATAGCATCAAAGGTGACATCCTTAAATGGATTAGGGCGTGGTTACAGGACAGGAAACAGCGAGTGAGCATTAACGGCACTAAGTCCTATTGGAGCAACTTCACAAGTGGAGTTCCCCAAGGCTCAGTACTTGGACCATTATTATTTATTATATACATAAACGACATAGATATCGGCATAGACAGCAACATAAGTAAATTTGCTGATGACACTAAAATAGGACGTGTTATTAAATCTGACGAGGACTCGGCAAAACTACAGGAAGATCTAAACAAATTTTTCGAATGGTCTGAAAAATGGCAGATGAAATTCAACGTAGACAAATGTAAAGTACTCAGTATAGGAGATGTAAACAGGGAAACCAGATACCAGATGAACAACGATGCCATAGAGAAATCCGACTGTGAGAGAGATTTAGGAGTAATGATAAGTAGGAACCTTAAGCCAAGTAAACAATGTGTTTTTGCTCGTAACAAGGCTAATAAAGTACTTGGGTTCATACAAAGGAGTGTTAGTTACAAGACTAGGGAGGTCATCCTAAAACTGTATCTTGCTCTTGTGAGACCACACCTGGATTACGCAGTTCAGTTCTGGTCACCGTATTACAGAATGGATATAGAATCCTTGGAAAGAATTCAGAGGAGAATGACAAGACTAATCCCGGGCATTAGGAACCTTGAGTATAGAGACAGGTTAAAGCATCTTAATTTACACTCCCTTGAGAGACGTAGAGCGAGGGGCGACCTGATAGAGGTGTTTAAGTGGAATGCAGGGCTAAACAAAGGGGACATTACAAAGGTACTCAAACTATCCAACCAGGAGCGAACTCGTAACAATGGTTTTAAATTAGACAAATTTAGATTTAGGCGTGAAATAGGTAAACACTGGTTTGGAAACAGAGTAGTGGATGAATGGAACAAGTTACCAAATATCATCATTAACTCGAATACGCTGAATTGCTTCAAACATAGGTTGGATGCTCATATGAGCAATAGGGGTTGGGAGTAAACGGGACTGCCCAGTATGGGCCAATAGGCCCTCTGCAGTTTCCTCCATTCTTATGTTCTTATGTTCTTATGTCACATGTCCGATACACGAATCAATCACGAACAGTTGTCCCGCGTTCACTGACCAGCAAGTTACGGCCTAG